CTGCTCTGGACAACAGGCCGTAAATGCAACATAAAACTAAAACACGAACAGGAATTATCCAAGGACTAAATCTATTAGATGCTATTGAGAATGGTCCCCAAAAAAAAAAAAGGTAGCCTAAGTACGCATTCCTCAAATAATTACAGAATGCTAGTAGTGACCATACTCGTCTAACAGAAATTGCAGACGCCTTTTACAGAAGTTATCATTTCTTTAACTAAATCGGCAGTAATTTATTTATCATGAAAGACCAGTTATAAGAAATCTCTACCACAAATTACCAAAGATTTATTTGTAATTATGTTTGATTTTCTTCCCCTTAGTGTTTTACTTCACGATTCTAAAAAGCCCAGTCCCGTTTTATGACAAACGTAGAAACAGAGCAGTAAACAGTTCAATAAAAGTTAATAATATTGACACATAAAATGTAAGGAGTCTACCACTATAGCTAATTTCCAAAATGGCCAAACTGTCTAACCGATTTCCTTATCCAATAAATTACTGTTTGGCTCTGAAGCGGCAGGGTTACGTTTAAGTAACGAGTGGGGGGTTTCGACTCTAACATTAACTCACTCAAACCAAAACAAGACGATGGTCTACAAAAACCGAAGTCAGCAATGGCGTGCTTTTTTCATAATTCGCAAACAGACAGCGCGAAGAGCAATTAGACAAACCTGAGTGCGGAGCCATGGGTATCGGGGACGGATAGTATTTTCCAGGCTGAAAATGACCGGGATGCTGTACGGAGCCGTGGCCGGTAGGAGCAATCCGAGAAGCGGCGCGGTGCACCAGCGCGCCGCGGTCAGACAGGAGATGGGGCGGAGGAGCGAAATCCCGGCCTTCCATTATGCAGAAAACGGATAATTCCAAATCCAGCGGGGGAACGAAGCGCATCAAACGCCACCCAGATGCTATAATCCTTTCGCAGAACTTCGCTTATGTCTTGCATTCAGCGGACCGTTGGCGATCCCAGCCTAAAAAGTGGTTCCCGACCATGTTTTTTCTGGAATAGAAACACAGAAACTGTCGATGAGTAGAACAATGAATCCCTACTTAAAAAAAAACGCACTTAAGCTAAACAGAACAAACAATGACATTCAAATGTTACATTTCGTGGAAAAGGTGATAATGTATTGTAACCTGTGCTTTGGGTTAAAATGCACGTTTATTGTTTGTATGATGGGCCTGTTAAAGCTTACTGAAGACTAGTTAGTACAAAGTACAAAAACCGTGGTGAAGAATGTACCTGGAAAAGAAATTATGTTCTGCTAACTATGTATGTATATATATTATATATACGTGTGTGTGTGCGTGTGTATATAATCACACGTGTATATGATTTATATTTATATATATATATATATTTATATATATATGTATGTATATGTATATATATATATATATATATATATATATATATATTTAAAATTGTAATTCCTCATTTTTGTAAATAGTCGCAGTGAAGTTTCACTTGCCCCAAAGTTCCAGTTTTCTGAGGCGCGTCTTGTTCAAATATCATAATATAAAAACGTGAGTGAAATAGGCCGTGTTTTCACTAAGTAGTACAGTCAGGATTAAAATTTTGTTTATATCGCTTTTAAAATACAATTATTAGAATATAGGTATGCTTTAAAAAAATTCAATTTTACAAAAATTTCACTCTAAAAAATATTAAACCAATAAATATCACATACTAGTAATATTTGTACCTATGTTTGTGACATATCTTTGGTGGATAATATTTTACTTTAACTGAAGAGTATTTTTTTTTTTTTAATCTGATTGGCAGCTTACACACATCTCTAAAGTGTTTGTGTGTGTGTGTAGGCCTTTATATGTATTTATATGTATTTGTGTATATGATGTGTGTATACATATATATATATATATATATATATATATATATATATATATATATATACGCACACACATCATAGATATAATGATGTTATGAGTCAAAGTTATTTAAACATTGCACGTTTATTATTAACCTATGCTGCGTAAATCACTGTCTCAATTTATGTGCTGGAATATTTTTGCAAAAAAGACATTTTCAGGCATTTATTACAGTGAAGCCTTAATTCTATTAGCACCCTAGCTATCATTCGAGATAAAACAAAAGAAAAATAATGTACATAATCCTAAAAAGCATACACCTGAGTAAATATGAAAGTATTGGCGCACTCAATCCTTTGTACCTAGTCCGAAAAGTGACTCATTGATGCTATTGGTTAAATAAATTCAATTATTTGTGGCAGCCAAGGTGAGACCGATAGAAGGCGTCATAATGTTGTGAGTTTAGTGGGACAACTTAAAACTAAATTCTGAAAGCCGCGTGCACGTGTATGTTTCTGCACTCACCCACTTTGATCTGTCAAAAGCAGTGTATAGCTTTAAGACTGATTGTTTGACAATAAAACTGAAACCATTCTGGTGTAGGAAGCACATCCCGATGCATGCATTTCCATACAACGGTGAGCAGCCGGCTTGCTGAACGTGGACGTCCATTCTGCTGTATCTACAGCTCAGTCACAACGCGCGAAATCACGAAGACGACTGTCTTCTGCCGTACGATATAGTGAAACTATGTCGCGCACTGGACTGGCACTGAAAACGTGTCTGGTTTAGCTACACCAAATGACCCAAATACAAAAAAAAATCAAGATGTGTTGAAACGAAGCAGCACTGCCCGTCTTGTGTCTTCTAAAAGAACTTCTTCCACTGATACGTGATGTTTCTGTGAGCAAACGGAGCAGGATTTCAGCTCGGAATAGCCGTATTCATCAAGGGCTAATTACTACGTGCTCGGGCCTTCCGCACACAAAATATTTTTTTCCCATAAATATTAAAGATAAAAGTATAACATTAAAATTAATTATTAAATGCAAAATGAAAAGGTGGTTCAAAAGGAAACAGTCATAAAATAGGTGTGTGATACTGGGTTGGTATAGGACTTCCATCTTCTCATCTCTTGAATGTTTCAATCTGCCATTACCGTCGTTCAGCGTCACTGTCGTTTTCAAATGAATCCCTTTCAAAATGGTTCGAAAATAATGAAACCACCAAACTTGCTGCTTAAAAAAAACATGTAAAAAAGCAGTGTTTCGAGATCGGCTGTGGAGTTTTCTCGTCGTAAACAAAGCAGAAATCATGTAGTGTTGAAATGTAATCCAGTCTAGTTTGATGAACAGTGTTAAACGGCGTCTTCCATATAGAAACCCAGTGTTTGGCGTTGCGCTGTGACCAACATCTCGATAGCAGCCTTTTATTCTTGTAAAACATATAGCGGTTAAATAAAATACAGTGAAATAAAAAAATTCAATATTAATTTCGTGACCGTTTCGCGCAACGAGGAAAGCGCCACCCGCTCAAACAATACCACGGTGTCAGTCCATCGTGCCTCGGTTAGACTGTAAATAGACTAGCGGAGAAGCCATCCCTCTACTCGTGATAAAGGAAAAAACGCGTTTAAATACCACAAAATGCAAAATACTTAGTTAATGTGCTCGGCATTTTTCTTGAAATTAGATTCAGTACAAGAACACAAAATTCTTCATGAGGTATTTATTTTGAATGGACTACTAAATGGCTTCTTCATTTGTAAACATAGTACTTGACGTAATAATTTATGCTGTGCTCCTGTTGTTAATTAATTTACTAATTTCAACATTTTTCAGAAATGTGTGCGTACCGATGCACAGTTTTCCACACAAAATATATCTTTGCTTTTTTTCAAAATTAATAATTGTGTAATTTGAATAATCAAAATCTAAATACCATAGTTCATACATATATATATATATATATATATATATATATATATATATATATATATATATATATATATGTAGAAACTATAGTGTACATATACGCATAAATACACCATCAATTTATCAATCTGCTATACTTTGAGAGGCTGATCTTATTTATTTTTTCTGCTAAAAATAAATTATAAAATTATATAAGTCATGTGATTCTAGAAAGAATGTTGTAAAACGGCATATGAAAGCATTTTTTTATTATTACACATCCGGAAAATATACAATAAATAAATAAATTACTTACTGGTAAGTTATTCCTTGCATAACAATAAATGTTTGAATTTAAAAAAGTCAATAAAAACATTAATGCATTAATGATATTTTTTGGAAAAATGTGGAAATGGTTGCATCCTTGTCTGCTGCTTGTAGTTGAAGTATAGATGCTCCGAGTTCGAGCTACTAGCGAATCGAGGAAGGCTCCTCCAAACAGCATCTCTTTCCCGATGCCTCGAACAGCTAGCGCCACTCAACTGAGGAAGGGGTGGGGGGGGCGAACGTACACGCGTCAGCCCATTGGTCGGATATCTGAATGCTAATAAGCTCGTGCAGTTCGCCTGGGCATAAACAGCAGCTTCTATTGGACATTTTGATGAGCCAATAGCATAGCAGCTGGAATAACTAAATAGAATGGCGGGCGCCAGTTTCATGCTTTCCCATTGCGCAGCATGCCTTGCGCAACCTAGAAGGCAACCTGCATTAATGTAGATATGTAAATGGAAGGAGGAAAGTTCCCCGCAATCCATTTTGGAGCTTTATAACTCCGTTTATCTTTCGAGCCAAAGTCTTGGAATGTTCTCGCGTATTTTGTTTTCCATGCCTATTGTATGAACTTCATTCATGGCACTGAAAAGCTAAGCACTTTCAGCGAAACGTCCACATCTGTCTGCCATCGTACAAATCCGAGACTTAGAATTTAACTGGTTGCTTCAAAATATATTTTTATCCATTCATGAAAAGCACGCGTTTCATACGATACTCACAAAATCATGAGACTGATGAGGGACAGTAACTGCAGTCAGATGACCCCTTTCGTTATAGATTACGTATTTTGTACATTGCATTCACTTATTTGGTTGCTATACTGTGTCGCTCCTATATTTATGTTTCATGTCATCCTGGGAAATGTAGCCTGGCATTTTCCCTTTCTTTGTGTCCCGTATTCATTCCTCAGAATGACTTTATGAAATGAATTCTGATGTTTTTATAGCTACCAGGAAGCGTGGTTATTAAGGACAAAAATGTGTAACTTCTGTTGGTTGGGCTCCCGTGAGGGGCTCCACTGCTTCGTGTCTGATGTGAAGTACTTCACGTGGATTTGTACTTGGAAATCCCCATATAATAATAATAATAATAATAATAATAACCATCATAATCATGATCAACTTAATTATACTTTACGATATGTCTGAATTTCATGACGATAAGTATTCAAAAGCTTACATTAAATTTCAGATTCATGGCTGAAAGCTAAAACCTCGACAGTGAGTAGTTTAGGACCAACTCTAACGTCTCAGTTTCATTTTAAGTCACAGAGTGAAAAAGTTATCAGCCTGTCAAGGCTTCCAGGTTGATTAGCAAATGCTGTTTGAAGTGAAAGAATTTGAAATAGGAATTCACAACCCAGCAATAAATAAAACGTAGACATTTCATGTGTGCTGCGAAACAATGAACAGAATCTTTACCAAACTAACAAATACTATTTTAATTTTAACGTAATCAGGTCGAAAATTAAGTATGTCAGTTTTTGAAAGTGATGTATAATTACTGTTGTTAATTGAATTAGACTTATTTGAAAAAATGTTCCTTTGTATTTTGTTATGGATGTTTAGACTCACATGAGGTATGATGTACAGTCCATTGAGCTTTAACAACAATAAGATGGTGCAAAGATGCTGGAAATCCAAAGATAAATTATATTTTCATTACCTTCTTGATACTTTTATCAAGCGAATGAGTTATATAAACAGAATATACACGTATGTACACGGTGTCAATTGTGGATTCTGGAGACAGGTAGTTTAATTTCAAAGCGTTTGTTTTTATATAGGCATGGGATTAAAATTGTTCAACGGTGTGGGACTTTAACATATTTCACAGGAATACAAAGGGTTAAAAGCTGGAGAATCACTCAGTGCCGCCGTTGATTGGCTGGAGAGCTGCCAGACTATTGTCAATCACAGAGTGTAAACAAGGTTCTGATTGGCTGTTGGCCAGTCCGCACTGGGCTGCCTGAAAAAAGCAATTACTGGACCTGCGGTTTCAAGGCGGCCCACAGTTGGATGATGAAAGGAGATAAGGAGGGGCTGTTTCAAGGCGTCCCCTAGGCGAAACCCGCTGGCCTCAGAGCCAAAGGGGAGTCGGGAGTGACTAAATCAAAGGGAATACAGTAAAAAGGGGGAAATTACACGTTGTATTAAAATAACGAAGCTAGATGTTCGAATTACTTCGATGCAACAACGACGCAGCGGTTAGTGTTAGAATGCAGATCTCCGCGAGCGGTGCGAGCCGGCGCGGTGTTTACCCAACCCGACGGGATATTAACCTCCGAAATACTAAAGTTAGGATTTAGGTAAAAAACGGACGCGACTGCTGCGTACTGCTGCTAAAGAAAGGTGGGGGCTATCAGGAGAGAAATATACAGTGGAGTTATTTCCTTAACAGGGTTTATGTCGTACAATTATTTTGTGAGGTTAGATGTCGTCGTGATTTATTGGGGGAGTTAATATAATGGTCAAAGATATTATAACTGGGCGGGAGAATACAGTAAAAACACAGTAAGTATTGCATATAGTACCGTTACTGGAAACAGCGGAGAGTCGGTGGTGGGCTTTTGTTAATCGCGGTTTCACGGATCTGACCGAATTTGTGCACTGATTGTGATCTTCAGTGCATTAGTTTTTTTTAAAAACGACGTTTAATTTCTGTTCGTTTTACTCGAATTTAACAGTTACAATGTCCTTTTCGGTGTGTTTCTAACCTA